GATATTCCCTGTAGCTTGTTGTACTATAGCAACTGGGAGATATTTTTGGGTGTCGAACTGTGTTACACAACGGAAGCTGTTCCTCCTAGAACCGTCTCCTAAGAAGTTCTCTGAAGATCGATATTTCCGTACAAATGGGCCTAGCTATGAATAAACCACTGCCAGAAGTCGCTTCTTTAGTGGCAACAATGTGCTCGCAAGTTAGAAAGTTGTACGCCGTCGGCAACCTCTAGCAGGACTTTCACCAGGAAAAGAAATGCTCACCCGCGTGACCAGAAAATTACCGCTGAGTGGAAATCGTATTGGGCTGCTCGCGATTCTATATGATTCATAAAGGCATTCCACTAAGCATCGAACATATTCACTATCAACTAAAACAGTTGTTTTTCCTCTATCTGGTAAAGTCTTGTGGTTTATTTTTAGTTTCACCGATCAGGCGATGTGGATAGCGCCGACGAAATGCAATCAACTCGTGAAATGACGAATGTTGTGTCTAATACGGCTTGGCATCGACGACTCGCCCTGGCCACTCCTTAGATGACATCTTGATCATAGTAACAGAATCTCGTAAGAAATACTGAATATCACGGTGAATCAGCTTTGTTCTATCCGATACACTCTCATGTGGTTCTTCCCGAATCCAAGCAGCCATGGATTTTTCTCAGAGTACCTGAATGTCATCACCAAAGCTAGGCGTTATGAAGACCTATATCAATTTCTAAACAAAAAGCTAAATTATTTTCTGATGACAAAGTTAAGTTAATGTAATGCTAGGGATGATTTACTGGTCTTCCAGAAACTTAGAGCCTATATTGTTGTCATGTGGGTTTTCCTAACTTTCAACATAAGTGATATCATGAGATTTTTCTGATCAGAACTCAAATGATAGCCAGACAGAAGATATTGATGAAGAAAATCGATTGTTGGATGAATAGTACTGATACCGTAATTTATGAGAAGATGGTGTTAGCCTTTCCAATGACTTTACTGAAATGTACGACTTTCTCACCAAATTCATTGAATTTACTCCTAACAACCGATGTTCTTGTTAAATGGAAAATGAAAAGTTGTGGAAAAGAGATAGGGAAGAAGCTAGGAAAAGCTCACTGTGAGAGCTATTCATGTAAATTTGATGACGTCATAGGGATATAATGGTAATGAGAGCAGTATGACTGCCTGTTTCCTTTTCACTGCTTCTCAATCTTTTCCATCATTCTAATTACTTAAATCGATTCAGTTCCGTATTGATCACTTTAACGGCGAGATGATATCACCAAAATGACTTCATTGTCAGATATGACGTGATGTGATTATCATCAATAACAAACTCTTCTATACCATTTCTTCTTTTCATTTACTCATGAAGTTTCGACATGGCTTCTTTTCTCATGATCATTATCACATGGTCATGATCATTTTCGGTGCTAAGTATTAAAAATGCGATTAAGCTGGCCAATATATTTTCTAAATTAACCCTATACTAAGTGGTTTTGCAAAAAATTTTCCCATTCGTTCAGCATTTTCTCTCATAAACTGCTAACATCTTGTCAAAGAACAGATTAAAATAATTATTCACCCTTACGTGACGAAGCTAATTTTTCAAAAATACACGACGATTTCTCCATTTCTGGAGAAGTTCAAGAGTTTAGAAGTTTAGAGACTTCTAGAAGAGGTGTTGCTCTACCTCACTAAAGATATACACGATTTTCATAACATATTCTTTCAGTTTAAAATTTGCTTAGAATTCTTAAAAAGTGGAAAGGAACTTCAACTTCTAGAGCTTCCCAGGCAAGTGAGGTAGTGGGAAAACTAGAAATGAACTACGAAACACTTTTCTGTTCTCCTAAGGGAAATCCCGCTTGTCCATTTTCTTGCTGATTCGAAACACTAGCCTTGACGAAGATAAGTTTTTTTGGGAGCTAGTAAACCAGGATCTCATCACAGGAGAGCCTGTACCTTACAAGGATTGATTCGAGATTCTAGTAGTTTTCCTAAGTTCTTGAAAGATTGGGCTAACGTGAAGATGTCATAGAAATATTTTAATAGCTCCTATTACAATTAATAGAGTTCACTATGATCCGAAATGTTTTCGCCTAAAATTGAAAATGGCCATTGTTAATTATCGTACGACTCCCATAGAAGTCACGTAGTCGAGTAACCATTGAAAAAGAGCTCATTTTGTCTTATTTTCATTCAAGTACGCGTGTGAACTATTTGCTATAAGTTTATGGGAAAAATGTTCCAAGTAGACATTTATTTAAGTAATAAGTTGCGGTAATATTACAAAACGAGGAATCGAAAACCTTTTTAGCACAAAATTGACGCAATGATGCCGAACCGTTTGCAAAACTCTGGACCGCAGGTATCCTTGAAGGGCCCGCATGGTGTGGTTGTGAACACATTAGCCCCGGAAAGTGTCACAGCGGGTCCGTCCCCCACCACAAACACCTGCGGCCCGGAGTTTTGCAGATATCTCAGCATCACTGTGGTTGATTCGCATAAGACCGTGCCGTGCAAACTATAGTAGGCAGTAAATAAAAAAGTTAAAATTAACATAAATCGCCACTTTTTGTTTATGTAGATTAACCTAATATTGAAATTAACCAACAGTAGGCGCATAATTTTTGGGTTTACGGGTTCTTTTTCAAAACTAAGAACTTTGCTCAAGTTTCCTTTCATCTGCACTACTCTTTTTCCTAGATGGATGACGATTTCATTAGCTAATTCGAATAAATATAAAAAACGAAAGCAAACATGGAGCCAAACAAAATAGATTTCGAACAAATTAGATTAAAACTTTAAAAAAGAGATGAATGAATTGATTTACCATTATTTATATTATTTTATTTTAATCCGTCTTCACGTCTACTGTGCAGATCCAAGCACTTCCTCGCATCCACTTTCACGAAGAACTTCCAACTGTGGCTTCGGTTGCTGCTTAGGGATTTCCATTTCATCTTGAACGTCGTAGAATACTGGCCGAGCAATTATCCCTGGATTCCTGAAACAGTCGGGTTGGAGAAGCTCCCAGTTGGATTACAGATAGTGATTTTTTCCCAGTCAAGTGCGGTACCAATTTCTCGACCCCGGAAGGATGAGAGGCTTGGTTGGCCCGGAGGCGGAATCGAAGTAACACCAAGTTCGTGATGACTGACATCACTACCACTGTACTATCAACTCCTTGAATGAATGGGATACAAACTGTAACCACGGATGATTTCTCATTCTAAACAAAATTACGATAACTGTCATTGGATTGATTGATTTCGCATCAATCACAAACTTTTTCCTCAGGATGCCTACTTTTTTTGATTTTCCCAATTCTGGCAATGAAATTCAGAAACAAAGGTGTTGATGTTAAAAGAGAATTGTTCTTGCGAAATTCCACGGCGATTTGAGAATCCTATCCGGTTTCTCTCAATCAATAACCATCTAATGCATAGCTGTTGGTAGGGGTTGGAATGGTTGTTGCCAGATTTCATGGTGATTTGTGAATGTTTGTCTGTTTTTAAAAATCAGTTGCGATCAATTGCATGACTGTCTGTATCGGATGAAACGTAGATATTCGGAGAGATTGACAGTGAGGATAAACGCGTCTGTTCCACACCTTCGTAAACGTTGAACACCTCATGGCAGTTAGACAGTTTTCATCTTAATGTTGATGAAAAGTATACGTTCAACTTGTAGCTGTTAAATCATCTGTGCTGAAAATGAACAAGCATATTGCGAAAAGCTGAGGACGTTTAGTAGACGATTCTGTGAAAGCTTCTGTGCAAAGTTCTCTACACTTCTTCCTATAATTCCCCTTTTTCACAGAAATTTGGTCGAAATTCTTCAACGATTAAATTGGTTCCATTGAAATTAATACCCTTAGAATAATTCTATTCGTTATACAGTTTTACACTGCCTGTTTTCATTCCGTTCTACTATAGGTCGTTTATACATGGTCTTCACAGTTAAAGGGTAAAAGCGTTCGGCTTTGAACAGCTCCGCATTGATGCGTCAAGCATCCCAATCCGTCCGTAGCATCATTAGAGATGACTGAATGCATATATGGCCTATACAGTAGCTCGTGATGGCCTGCCGATTTATCATGTCAGTCTTTTTTAACCTCGCAGGCCAGCCTGGTTTCAACTCCCCATCCTGGCGTGATCTATGGCTTACATAATAAATAGCTTAGTTTCGTGAGCGGGGGTAAAACTAACAACCCTGTTTGCATTGCAGAGCACCATTAAACACTGCGCTACATGAGAGAGCATTATACCGATTGTAGGTCAAAAATAGGCCTACAATGATAGCCAATAGTAGGCTATTATTATCAGAATATTACGCTATTTACATATTTGTTTTTCAAGGTGAACAAGCTCTCCTAGCCTGTCATCAACGATGGCACACCACATGACATGTGGGCAGCAGGTGAAATGCGATCGAATATCTGCGCAGATGTTGTGGGCAAAGAAGTGAAGTGTTTTAATCCATTACAGATCTAGAGAATAACAGCAAGCTGTCTGTAGTGCCACAGCATTCCAATATTACGTGATTCTAACGCAGAACCCGAAGGTAAAGTCCATCTGAGGTAAAGTTATAAAAATAATAGTTCATCAGGTGCGCAAAACTCAGAAACGGATCAAGTATTTATTGATTCAATCCTTAAACGAATTCCTTGCAGAGAATTTGAAACACTCACTATTAAGTGCAATTCTTCGACAAAGAAAAGGACATGCTCATTTGTCGGATGCTTTGACCACTCCCTTTGAGCTACAGTAAATCATCTGTGACAATACCTATCAAAAGAAACGAGTATTGAAAAGAATTGTTCTGGTATGAATGCCCCTATGAATGGAATGTATTGTCAAAATGAGAGAAACAAGATCGGATAACAAAACATCGACGGTTCTCACGCGCGTGCTCGTCGCCCTTGACACCGCCCACACCGCGACATCAGTGCTAGGGTATAAAATCTCTTCTTCGAGGGTAAGGTCCATGTACCGATTCTGAACATGATTTCGATCCTAGTACTTTCCGTCATCACCGCGTCCTGCAACACCGCATCCGGAATTCGTGATCCGTTTGACGGTGAGTTCGATTCAAGTTCATTCTTCTTGCAGGCGATCACACCGTATCCTCTTACAGCAACCGCCAACAACCAGCAACCATCAGAACTAATTGATCCGTTCTTCTCGTTTAACGAGAATCCAGTGGAATCCACTCGTACAGATGAAGACGATGTATTTAAAGCAGTGGCATCGAAAAAGACCGAAAAGTTACCACTTCAAAAGAGAATACCGCGACTTATCAACGATCAGCTTGCGGATTTGATGCAAGAGTTCAAGTTCTCTCAGCCAGGTGTTGCACCAAAGCTTACTGGTTCGGCTACCGACTGGAGTTCCCCAATCAACTTCGAGCACTTCCATTTTGGTGAGAACGATGGCATTGTGGTGAATCCCTCCGCTACCTATCTCAATGGTGGTGAATTTGAAAAGGTCATTTTTTTTTGTTAATGCTTTATTACCACGTAATGTAGAAATAGAACGAGAAATATTACAATTAAATTATTTTGCCAACATTTCTAATCTTGGAAAGAACTAAGTCTCATTGGAATAACATTATTTGCAAAAGGATGGGAAATTTTCATGATTAACATTCCCGCCCTGATTATTACCTCGTCGGCCTTTCCAAAGTCTGTTGTAGATTGGTGGTAGTTTAAATCAATAAGTTTTTTTGTGCCTTTCCAATGGATGTGGCACGTTAAAGTAGAGGTTGGAGTGCCCCGTAGTACGTATCTGGTCATACGTGAAGCCTCACATTCTGGGAAACTAAACCGTCCATCACTAGGAAAATCGCTCACTTGATACATCGGCAAGGCCCGGAAAGTTTACTATGTGGGCAAACCATGCATCCACCATCCTCTGCAAGGCACAATGGAGTAGAATGCCTGACCCATCCCTACAGAAATGGTCAGCACCAAATCCTTAATCATTTTTATTCTTTAGTAGAGATCATTTTAAGTGTCTAAGTTTCACTAGCAGTTAAGTTCAGTTAAGCTCCACAATAGGATTCACCTGTCCGGTTTCAGATCGCTACACCAAAATGCCACTTCATCGGATGTGGCGGACCATTTCCAAATGATGGTACGTTGCCCGTAGATTCTCCTCCACAAAAAGACAAAGTTTGTCATCGAACATTCGTTCCATTGAACGGCTGCACTAATAACAAAGGGTATCCGATGGGAATGTTATGTTCAATATGCTGTGAATGTTCGGCTGCTTTCGTAAATGAAATGAAGAAAACGTACGGATTCAAAATCGGCTACAATGCATAACCTGTCGAAAATTTCGCGAACTGTTTTTGTTTTGATTAGTTGTTTTCTTTTGTGCTTACGTAATTGTTCAGTTGAGTTTCTATATTAACTCATTAGCACGGGTTTCTGTAAATATTGTACTTTGTGTTAGACCTTCTCCGATACTTTGTAAACAGGTTTCCTTGCTTTTTTTTTGCTTTCTCAGGATTTCCCAGTTCAGTGTAAATATTGCACGTTGTTTCTTTGCGAATCTTTTCACGATTACTCCTTCTTGAAAAGAGCATTTCGAACAAAGTGAACTTTAAACTTCACTTTAAGCATAACCGAAAATGAAATAAAAGCTTAACACCTGAAAGCTGACTGGACTTTAACTTTTCTTTCATAGCTTATCGTTTATAGTCTCAGCACAGTTTCCTTAAGCAGTCAGACTCAACAATGCCTGTGAAAAGCGCTGTGACTACCCTAGGACGAAATATTTAGGGCTCTATATGCACGCAACTCATCGTTAACTTGTTAATTTCTTTTTAGTTGTTTCACTACGCGCTTAGAAAACGTTCCGGTTAGATTGTTCTGGATAAATCGGTCAGCTAATCGCCGGAATCATTATCAACCTGAAAGAATCCTTTTCACGAAGTAGTAAATCTCAGTCCGATCCATAAAGGGCCGCGACCTCCTGCGGTGAACACTGCCTAGAACATCCTGGTAGCGTAGCTGTCTTGAGATTCCAGAGAACAGCACAATTCGACTATCATTCATTAAACTGCTGGTAAGGGAAGATTCTTCCAAACATTTCCATGGGCTGCAGTTGCAGAACAACGAATCAATTGTGGGAATTGCAAAGAACTATAGGCGTCATAGGTAAAGTTAAACTCTTGAACAGCACGTCAAATTAAATTCGATTTACTGCAGACAAACCCAACCTAACCATTCAAACTAGTGGAAGGCGAAAAAAAGACGACGATTAAGACTTCACACTCGCTCTCGTAGGAAGAAATAGCAAACCTAGCATGTTTACCTTTTTTGTCAAAGTAATTTCAATTATAGAACCGGTTGCTTCAGATTCTGTACATGAGAAGTTTGATAACAATGAGCTAGAATTAATAGTACGAGAGCGAAATCAGCAGAGTTGTTGCCCATTTCTCTTCGTACAATCGTACCCTCTAAGTGTCGAGTATGATGTCATTTCATGAGTTGTCCTTAGAGAACTCCTTGACAATGAACTAATTCAAAACTACTTAAGATCCTTTTACAATCTCTAGTTGCTACACATTTTCGGGCGATGTTCAAAAGCGTGCAAAAAATGATCAGTTTACGAGAACTGAAGAATTTCTTTCGTAATTCGACGAACTTCTTTTCTAATTGTAACTCTAAGAAATGCTAGAACCTCAGATTCCTGAATCATTGACCAGCTCAGTTTCACATGACACTGGGAATTACTAAATCCGTTTTACTGAAAACGAGAAATCCTGAAGTGAGAAAGGTTTAGTGCTTTGTAGTCATTATGTTCGTTTAAATACGATAGTGTGCCGTTCCCATTCTACTATGACCTGTCTGCAGTACAAATTGATTTTTTCTTACCTTTTTTCTTCCCGCTGAATTTAAACTCCTTAAGAGGTCATGTTATGAGAAAAACTCATCTTGAACCAGTTCTTGATGGTGATCTTGACAATTTCTTAGTGGGGGATTGCTAAAGCTTCCAAAACTGAAACTGAAACTTTATTCTACTGACGATGTTTAGTTACTAGAAAATAGACTCTGTAAACGAATTAATCTTCTAAATCGTCAAACCAAACGTATCGTATGAGTGTAAGGGATAGGAATGTTTGGAATCTAATCAAATCGTGCGATGCGACTTACTATAAATGGAACTAAAATGTTCGCGATAGTCGTTCACAGAGGTCACTACTTTTTTCTCTGTTAGTTGTTTTCGTGTCATCATGATCGAATGATTCACTAATACAGTATAAATTCTGTTGGGAAACTAATAATCTATGACATGGATCTAGGGTACTACAGCTATATCGCATATCGATTCGATAAAACGGCGACCGGAGAACGTCTTCTCAAGCAGCTTCATTTACAGCCGGTCCAACCCATGTGTGTAAGTCCCAGGGTCTATGGTCGCATCTGCCGTAGACAGCAAAAGGACATGTAATAATAATCAACATGTTTTTAAACTGTTGAGCTTGCGCGAGGTTGATAGTACCAATATGTAATATAAGTATAATATAATATATAATATATATAATATTACTATTAACTTCGTGTAAGATCAGCAATTTAAAAACATGCTGATTATTTTACTACCGAGGTTAAATGACAGTTGGTTTAGAAATTATAATAATAATGTCGGTGCTCTCCCAACGGTTTATCATCTCATCGTGGATGGGGAGGTGTTCCTGGATGTCGGGCAGCTGCGATGTTGTGCAGGGGGTGGGGATTCATACATTGGCAGGATCTCCAAAGCTGAGAAGAAATCCGTCGTTTCCATCAGGAAGCCTTCAAATTGGTTGCATTGTGGCAAATCTCCCTCTGATCCACAAGAGCTGCAACTGCCTGTGGTGTTGAAGACCTGGGGCATACTTCGACCAGACTAACCTCAGGATTCCAGACAACCACAATGGCTTAACTAGCGAATCTCTAAAAAATAGAGATAATGCTGGAGCCCGCAAATCCAGTGAGGGCTGGCCATTCAAAGATCAAGTATCAATGAATACAGGTACAGCCAATTTTCTTACAAAAATTATAAAAGACTGTGCCGAGCGAAAAAGGGATGAAGTACTTGTGATCAATTAGTATTCCACTTTAAGATGAGTCTACTAAAACTGCCTCAACTTCACTGAATACTCTCTCAACCAAGGAAGTCAAGGCGATAAGAAGATGAAAACTTTGTATAGCATACAAATCAATCTTGTTAGGGTCACCTTTATCGATCCTTCTTTTCACGAAACAAAGATGTTCACAGTGTTGCAATAAAATAACGAAGATTTTGAGACACGAGCAAAGCCCCGAACAATAGCTCGGCTTCGAACTCACGACTCCCCTTTCCGGGTGTTGGCGTCTTATCCACTGCACCAACCAAGACCGTTGTGGTGCTCTTCTCTCAGGCGTTTTTTACCCTGACGGTGCTATCAGCTATCACCCGTCAACGGGAATGATTAGGGAGCACTAATCAGCATCGAATCCAACTAAGCTAAAACTGTGGTCGAAATTTCAACGCTTTAATTTTTATTTGCTTCTTATTGTTTTCTTCATGGCAAGGCATGATGTGAAACACAACCATAATGGTGCTGAGATATGAGAAAAACTCGGAGCCTCCGGAAAAGGTAACACGAATTCGAAACCCAAACGAGGTTTAGAGTTTTGCTCATATCTCAGCATCCTTGTGGTTGCATTTCACTTAACATTCTACCATGGAAAAGAATTGGCGGTAAAATAAAAGTTAAAACAGTCTTTTAACACACTAACTTTTACCTACTTTTACCCTTATGTAGACTGCTCATTCATAAGTTTCTCAATTAAGTAGAGATTCCCTCTTGTTAGGATGCCATGTTCGCTGTAAGCAATACTTGTCGTTTTTGGCCCCTTTTGCAGAATTTCAACGGCTTTTTAGCCCTCATACTCAGGACCATAGAATGCCTTTATGATAGTTTTTCGAATGTAAGAGAAGAGGTCACCGGCTAGAAAAGGTTTCCAAAGTACGTCGTTGTTATACTTTCCATCGTATACGCCGTGTAGAACAGATGATGGTCTATCGTATCTTCCAAAGTCTCGAGAATAATTGTTCAAATTCAGCTTTGCTTCTCTTTCAATGTTTTTGCTTTACTTAAATCTGATATTTTCGCATAGTCCAGACCGATTATTCTTGCAGAGTTCGGGGATTCGGTGCGAAATAGTGGTAAACGAGATTGAGTAAATCTTTAGAGCACGCAAATGCTTTTATTCCAATTCACCAAAGTAAGGGGTGGGTAAATGTGTTCGTAGTCTTTGGTCTAAAAGATCACCACCAATTTGGTCCTACTTCTCTATTGGGTGATGAGAAGAGAAAACAAATGGAAATGTCAATAAATCGACTAGTAAACATTCTCTGAAGTATTATGAAGTGTTATATTTCTTACAGGCAGATTTCACATAAATACGTAGGTCACTGATTAATTCCAACATCCGAGGCCAGCCTAGCTGAAGCTTTCTTCAAGCCATTTGAAGCAAAGCACCACAGCAAACGACGAATGTGTTAAGGAGAAACGAATGGAAGATGTGATGAGTTCAGCAGCAATCATGAAGATGGGCCATCTAAGCGTGCAGTATTGATTGATAGGCATGCTTCAGCCAACACTACGTTCCCAATCCATCTATATTATTCAGGCTTGGTAAGACGACTTGCCGTACCAATCCTGTAAATGTCTGCGCTTTGACCCACTCTATCACCACTATGTAATACACTACTAAGATACCACACAACGATTACTACTGATTGGTCAACTCACCCTCTAGCGCTCTGGTAGCTCGCATCGGACTATTGTGTTTTGTAAGCTGCACCACTATTTGTTCCTCTCAACACTTCATCAATCCATTTAAGGCGATACTCCGTTATTGTTAGCGGATAGCGACTAGCTTAGTGGTAGAGATCTTCCATTTAAGACTATACTCTCTTTGTATTAACGGATAACAGGTAGCGCAATGGTAGTGATGTCGTCCAAACTGTGGACGATTCAACCCAACCAAGCTATGCCCCAACCCGCTCGAGGTCTACCAAGGCTTGGGGTCGCGAAATCGGTACCAGAATTGTTTGGGACAAGCTCAATTCCGCTTATCCACGTAGGAACGAACTAGCGCGTTGTTCTAGGATTCAGGCGAAAATAAACTCGACCAGTACTCAACGACGTTTGTGACGAAAATGAAAGAAGCCTCAAGTAGTTGGAGAACGCACGCGCACAAAAGAAAAGCGGAAGATGTGAGGAAATGAATCACATGACGGAAGTACTGAGATCCGTGCAATGTAATAAATACAATAATGGACC